TCTTTCGAAAAGTGTTTTCAATCATTCTAACGTCGTAGAGTAATAAATCCATTTAATTGTTGTTTATTTTACTGCGGCGATTTCTTTTCATGTAAATGCGTTTCAAAGGATATCTACGTCGTTCTTTGGTTTTGCTATTTCAGCAGTTCGTTGATTTTCAAGTTAAGCGAACAAATTTTTAATTTCGTCACTCTCGGTGGAATCGCTGCCAAAGTCAGTCGGTTTCATTGTTTAGTCCGGATTTTCTTTTAATTCGTTATTGCATTTTTGTTATGGAAAAATGTGTAAATAGTAGCAGTGTGGAGCAAACCGAGACAAAGAAAACAGTCAAGTTTTGGAATTGAGATTCGGAATAGCTTGCGGGTGTAGTCTTCCAAGCCGGATTTTTTTTTAATTTGAAAAGTGAATTTTTACTCAAAATGCGATCTGGCAGTTTTTTTGTTGAGTTGACCACCGATTTGTTCGTGCTGTGTTTTATCTGAGAGATTTGTAAAACGGCGTTTCCAGCCGTTTAAGAGGTTCACATGATTTTGGGAGGAAATTGAGTGGGCGAGTTTTGAAGATTGCAGTTTTTTGTCATTCAGGATGATCCGAAGCCCGATTCCAGTGGCCAACTTCCAAAGAATTGTCTATTTGTGTTCATAAGTCACTTCAGACTTAATTGCAGCTTAAGTGGGACACAGTTGTATATTTTGCAGTGTTTTGGTTCAATTCTGATTCCAAAATTTTCTTAAAGGAAATACATCAGTCAGTGATACCAGGTACTTTTAAAATTAAAAATTACTTTTCAAAGTAAAAATAAATAATTTTTCAATAATAAAAAAATTTGCTTTGATGACAAACTAAAAAATTGTAAATAAATGAAATTATAAATTTTATGGATTAGCTAATTGTCCTATTAGTTTTCTTTTAAATAAAGTTGACTGCTATAATTAAAATTAATGTTTCAAAAAGGTTTAATATTTCATTTCGATATATGACAGTTAGTATTATCCTTTCTCGACATTAATACATAACCATAAAGTTGAATTGATTTGTATAACTGTTTGTGGTGACATAAATAAAGGTTAATTTTTATTGTCTTAACTTTTTATTTATTTTTTTGAGCTAAACCTTTATTGATTTTTATTTGAAAAAGATATGTTTTTTTATGTTGATTTTTTTTTCTAATTATTTCCCTAGTTACAACGAGTGGGTTGTAATAGGCATAATTAGGCACCTCAAGTGGCGCCCTATAATCAAATTTCTTGAGGTGTTTTCTGTTTAATTTTATTTTGTTTATCCCAAAAGCCCTTTATTTCTTTTTGTTGTAGTTGCCCCATTCTAACCCCCATTTTACTTATCCACGACCCCAGCTCTCCTGCGAAACCCTGAGTGTCCGTTCGCACAAGTAACGTATATTTTGCTTGCCTTATCTCCACCCCCTTAGTTTCTCCCCCAATTTTCTACCCCCTTGTATTAATGCCCCATGTGGTAGGCAAAATACTATCGTTACAAGGGTGCTCGAATATTTTTGATTATATCCTTTATTGCCACTAGAAATAATGTCGGACTAAGCACGGATTCTTGGGGTGTTTCATTTACCAAACAATCTATATTTAAAAAAATATTATTTATTAAAACTTGAAAAGATCTGTTGTTTAAAAAATTTTGGATGAAGACAAGGCAGTGACCTTGAATATTCCAGTTATGAATTTGTCTCAAAATAAGCTTTATTAAATGCACGTTCTAAATAAAAAAATATAGCAACGCATTTTTGGTTTGTATCAGGAGCTTCTTGGGAGGTTTTAGCATATTTAAAACGCCACGCTTGCCGAGCGGGTTGGCGAGTGATTCTATACAATCCCTAAAATCAGGGGATTGCCACTTCCGCCGTCCACGCCGTACCGAAGGTATTCTTCTCCGCCGTGTCTGCCGTTGTGGACTTCATCCGTGACCCTGGACAAGGGACCCTAAGCAGGTACTAGTTTCCCGGGTCAGGAAACCCCTGAAATCTACGGAGGGCAGGGATTGATTCATTTTCCCTGATAGGACTATCCAGAGGAGTTCCTACCCGCTACCCAATACTGAAACAATTGGATATAAACGGACTAGCCACTAAAATAAAAGTAACTGTAACAACATCGGTTAAGAAAATATGCTCAAACACGAAAACAGCCAAAACATCTAAACTCCAATCTAATACAATTAAACTACTCCAAGAAAGACGAAACAGAACAGATCGAACTTCGGACAGCTTTAAAAGTTTAAACAAAAATGTGAAGAAAGAAATCAGGAACGATCATAGAAACTATAATAACAATCTAATAAAAAATATAATACAAGATAACTGCAACATGAAAGTATTCAAAGCAAAAAACTCAAGCCGCACAACAAAAATCATAGAAATAAAAAATGAGAAAAACGTCACCGTCAGAGACAGAAAGGAAATAAGCGAGGCCATTGAAAAATTCTACACTAAACTATACTCGGTAAATACACAACCACAACAACGACGTACTCAACGAACAATAATTAACACCGGCTCAGAAGAAATACCGGACATAACCGACTATGAAATAAGAATGGCCCTAAATCAACTTAAAACGAATAAATGTCCGGGAGAGGATAAGATTACAGTTGAAATGTTGAAAATTGGTGGCAGAAAAATGGAACAGGTATTAAATGTTTTATTTAATAAAGTAATTGATGAAGGAAAGATTCCTCAAGAATGGTACAACTCCGAGGTCATTTTATTATTCAAGAAAGGAAACAGAGCAAACATCGAGAATTACCGACCAATCTCCTTGCTATCACATCTGTATAAATTACTAACTAAAATCATAACCAACCGCCTAACACATAAGCTCGATTTCTATCAACCTATCGAGCAGGCTGGATTCAGAAAACATTTTAATACCATAGACCACTTGCACACCGTAAGAACACTGATAGAAAAATGCACCGAGTATAATGTTCCAATTCATATGGCGTTCGTCGATTTCCACAAAGCATTCGATTCCATCGAATTATGGGCAGTGCTTGAATCTCTAAAAAATGCACACATAGATTCAAGATACATTAACATAATTAAAAACATATATGAAAATGCCACCATGCATATAAAGCTGGACGAAAGCACAAAAACTAATCCCATAAGACTACAACGGGAGTAAGACAAGGAGACACCATCTCTCCCAAACTATTTACCCTTGCTCTAGAAGATATTTTTAAGAAACTGGAATGGAGCAATAAGGGTATCAACGTCGACGGATCATACTTAAACCATTTGAGATTCGCAGATGACATAGTTTTAATAGCCGATAATATCCAAGAACTAAATGATATGTTACAACAATTAAATGCAGTTTCAGGAGCGGTAGGCTTAAAAATGAATTACAGCAAAACAAAAATACTGAGCCGAGACCAGACAAATATAACAATACAAAATCATACCATAGAAAATGTGGAACATTATGTATATCTCGGTCATGTTATCAAATTAGGAAAACCAAATCAAGATGCTGAAATTAAAAGAAGAACACAACTGGCTTGGGGCGCTTTCGGCAAACTAGCACATATCTTGAAAAACACCTCCATTCCTATAAACTTAAAGAAAAAGGTGTATAACACATGTGTCACCGCAGGGGACGTGATAATTTGGTCTAGCGTCAATCATCTGCCTCTGGGTGCTCTGTAGAGGGCTTCGAGAACGTCTACGAAGGCACCTCTACCCAAGTCTATTTTCTGGTATAGACTTGTGGAAACTTCTCTCGTTGACTTGCCTTGATAAAGGCAAGTTATTTCTTACATGACCAAATGAAGGTCGAAATAAAACACAAAAAGTATCGTAGAATAACTCAGCCACAGAGTAAAGGTAAGGCTAAAAGAAAAGCAGAGCCCCGAGAGCACTAAGCTCTCGGAGAGCCCGTGAAGGACTAACTTGATTGACCTGAAAATCGCCTATTTTTATACTTTCCGCAGTAGCGATTAGGGATTTCCAGGTCAGGGAGGGGCCAACGGGAAAAATAAGGGGCGGGGCGATGCGTCTCGAACGTGAACTAGTCGCGTCCGAGAACACATGCATACTACCTGTTTGTGCCTACGGCTTGGAGACAGTAGCACTTACCAAAAAATCTGCCAAAAAATTAGAAACAACGCAAAGACCAATGGAACGAATCATGCTTGGAATATCACTAAGAGACAAGATTAGAAACACCGAGATACGACGTAGAACGAAGACTAGGGATATTGTGGAAGAAATTACAAAAATGAAATGGCGCTGGGCAGGTCACGTAGCCCGATATAATGACAACAGGTGGACACGGAGAATTCTAGAATGGAGACCAAGAACGACAACAAGAAGCATGGGAAGACCTCAAAAAAGATGGGTAGATGACATAAGAGCAGTGGCAGGCAAACAGTGGATTAGATTGGCGCAAGATAGAGAAAGATGGAAGCAATTGGGAGAGACCTACATTCAGGAGTGGATGAAAAATGGTTGACAAAGAAGTATCAGGAGCTTCATGTATCTCACTTTCCAAGTCTAAAATGTTTTCTGTGGTTAACCGATCTTTTCTAAAGCCATTTTGCTTGCAGATTAACAAATTGGAATCTTCCAAAACCCATAAGAGCCTGGAGTTAATAATATTTTCTAGTAACTTGTACTCTGTCAATGTCAGAGATATGGGTCAGTATGATTCTGGGTCATCTTTAGGCTTGTCAGTTTTTAGGAGAGAACTGACAATTGCCTTTCACTAAATAGCTGGTCATAGGTGGTGGAGCCAAATTTTGTTAAATATGTTTAAGAGATACATTATGGCTGAAACAGGAAGATGTATCAGAAATGCTGAAGGAATATTATCAGGTCCAGGACTAGAATCCTTCAGGTTAAGAGATAAGTTTCTCTTGAAAAGAGATAGGATAGTTTAAGAAATTATTTTAAACTTCTAATCGATACACGGGAAATTATATCTTTAGTAGTGATAATTCGTATTACTAAAAATATTCTTTTGTTTCAGGTTTAATCTACCTGAAATCGCATTTAGGTAAATATTTGGCTGTTGATTCTTTTGGTAACGTAACGTGTGAAAGTGAAGAAAAGGAAGCCGGTTCCAAATTCCAAATTAGCGTGGCTGAAGATGGTACTGGAAGATGGGCACTTCGAAACGTCGTAAGAGGGTAAGTAACTCTCAATAATCACTAAATTTAACTTAAATGCTAATATATGTGTACTATGTTTGACATTTTAACGCTATTTTCTTATAACCATATTTATTTGTTAGTAAGGATTCGTGCATGTTGATATATTACGAGCTTATCCATATTAAACAATGCCCAACTAACCTAAGCTAACCTAACCTCTTCCGTTGCGATATTACAACACAATCCAAATAGTTCTGAAATTTAATAAAATCCTTGTATACCCTCAAAAGATGACGGGATGTTTACCAGGAATTAGTGATGTAACGAATATTCGCATTCGCATTCGCGAATATTCGCATATTTTTGCATATTCGCATTTGCATTCGCATTCGCTAAATTTGTGCGAATGTTTTGCGAATATTACACAGCTTGCATTTAGCTCGTTCAGTATCGAAAAGTGGTGAAAAATAAGTCCATACTTCACTATAATTTGATTTACTCATAGGAATAAATCGCTAATCACACTTTAACTAAAAATTCACTTGTATTTTTGCACGAGCAGAGCAGGGCAAGTGGAGTGACTTGTGTCCCGTGAAATTTTTATTGGACCTATAACCAGAGAACTTAGTTCTCTGCTATATCTTTCTCTCTATAACAAGTCAAATTTGATTATAACAAGAGAAAATAAGATCGAAAAACGTGCTTTCTACGTTTTTGGCCCGGACGTGACTATAAATAAATACCTTTTTAAACGACCCCTCAATAAACTTAACCGCCTACAATAAACTTCTTTACAATAAATACAACTGTTTCACATCTTTACTTTAGCAAATATGATAGAATGATACTGGACAATTTAAAGCAGTTAAAAATGACAGACTTTTTTCAATTGCCTAAGCACCTCGTGCAAATGAGACTGCCGGCAGTGCCGGAGACAATTAAAATTGCCAAATTAAAAAAAAACTCAATATTCGCATTCGCATTCGCATTCGCGAATGTCGGTGGCATATATTCGCATTCGCGAATGTTTAAAAAATGACATTCGTTACATCACTACCAGGAATGTGACTATCCTACTATTGATTCTTACCCGACTGTACCTTGTCACTATAAGTCTGTTATCACTCTCTGTATGTTTTTCATTCTCTATATTGGGTTGTTTAATAATCTACCTATCATTATCAAAAACGCTAGTTAATCTAATCCAAATAAAAGTTACTCGTGTCCTTATCTCTTGTAGGAAATTATTATTAATTAAAAATATTACTTGAATCAAATGCGAAACCTACATTTTCGTTGTTTTTTCGCAACTTTTAATATAACGGCAAATGACAAATTGACCTAGTGAATCCAGCATTTGGTATATATAATTAGTGAGAATAGTTGATTACATCTACGTTTTCAAATGATTACTTTCTGCCTTGTTGCAAATCAGTCAGAGGCGACATAAAGTTGATAAAAATCCTAGATTGATTAAGCTATCGGAGACACGGAGTGAAATAGCGTTCATGTCTTGTAATTATGCTCACAGATTGATAGTTCTGATGACATGTCCGTAACCGATGATTAACTCTTGCAATTAAAGCTTGTAATTACGGACAAAAAATGGTTGAAAACGTTTTAGAACTTTAAAAATTGATGTGAAAGGTTGTAGCGCAGGAGTGGATTGAGGATTTTATATCATATTTACGTCAGAGCAATGAAAAAATCTGTAACAGGAAAAAACTTGATAATAATATTCGTATTATTAATTAGTTAGCAGAAGTATTCAAAGAATTAGCGAAAAGAAAAGTAGATATATGTATTCTCACCGAGACCAAGAAAAAGGGAAATGGAAATAAATAGATAGGAGAATATATACATATCTTCAGTTTAGTGGGTAAAGATAACAGAGCTAAGAGAAAAGTCTCTATTGCCATTCGCAATAATCTTAAAAACAATATTAAATCGTGGACTGAAGTAAATGAACAACCGCTAATACTGGAAATAAAAAAGAATGGGCACAACATCGTAATTGTCGGAGTGTATGACCCAAATGAAGATGCAGATCCCGAAAGTAAAGACAATTTCTACAACAAGATGAATGAAATACTCTCTGAAGTTAAAGAGAACTGTGAAATCTTTATACTAGGATATTTAAACGGCAGAGTAGGGAGAGAAGAAAATAACAGAGTCGTAGGAAGATATTGGGAACAAATAACCAATGACAACGGATTGCGTTGGATTATGAATGGATTTTTTTAACATGGAGACATCCACAAATTTACATGGATACAACAACTATCGCAAAAACAATAACACTCACTCAGGTACAGAATATAGAAAAGGGACAAGAAGCAACATCCCCTAAATATAAAGTACAAAGCTTAAAAGAAGATTCAACGAAATTTCTTTACAAATTACACGACTGGCCACAAAATTACAAAATGTGGATCGAGAAAATATATCAGCGGAAGAATTATACCAGCAACTTAAAAAATGCATTCATGAGGCTGCAAGTGAAGCTTTGGAGTATAAAGACAAACATGAAACAAAAAATCAAGAATGATGGTCGGAGAATATGCAAACGTTAGTAAACGAAAACTGCTTATCAGAAATGGATGTCAACGAGAAAGGAGGAATATTACAAGATATATAAAAAATTAAATCGAGATGTACAAGAGAAGTAGTGAAAAGTAAAAATAAGATGTGGTATCGGAGATTGTGCAGAGGTGGATAGATATATGGGTGGAACAAGAGTTGGACAAGCGTGGAAAGCGATAAAGTCTCTCCGGAAGAAAGAAAAGGAAAAATCTAACTTACAGTTAATAGATCTGAAACAGTGGAAACACCATTAAGAGGTCTTACTGACAGAGGATAGGTGTAAATTTCAAGAGATCGAAATGGAAGAAATATCCGAACATACACAAATAATTGAGATAACAATCGGAGAGTTAAGTGATGCCCTCAAAAGATCGAAAAACGGTAAAGCAGTAGGACCTGGAGACATCCCAATTGAGTTGTTAAAGTATGGACCAAAAATGTTACATGTGATATTGGTTCAACTATTTAACAAATGCTTACATCATTTTGGATACATCAGCTCAATATTCAAAAAAGGGAATAAACGCAAACGCTATAATTATAGGGGATTGACTGGTATCAGCTCAGTGGAGAGGTTGTATGGTCGAATAATAAAAGAAAGAATAGAATCAGAATACGAAAACATAGAAGAACAAAATGGATTTTTAAAAATAAACGTGTGTGTGTGTCCGTTAGTCACAGATTTTTATTTGTTATTTTTTTGGCATGATATTTATAAAAAAAATATTTATTACTGTTACATTTAAATCGCAATATTTATTTCTTTCAAATAGTCGATTAGTAAATTATTATTCTCATATCATGGAAACTTAATAAATAGTCTATACTAATTGGAAAACATACGTTTTCTTGGTGTCGACTGTAATATAATTAAGGATATTAGAGCAAAAGTGGTCTAACCCCAAATATTACATAATGGATTTACATGAACCAAGAATATAAGTATGCGTTTTTTTTTTTTTAAATTTTGTAAAATGAAAATATGTTGTCAAAAGATTTTCAAATATTTACAAGTCATTAACTAGTAACAAAACTCGAAGATCGTGCATTATATTTAACAAAAAAAATTAAAAATTTTAGCTTTTTTGTGGAGGATTAGACTCCTTTTGCATCAGAGGGCCCTTAAAAATTATGATGGGAATGTGGATTAGATCTAGAGTACAATACAATTAAACAATATCAATGTTGAAAATAAACTTTAATACAACACAAAGTTATAAAAATACTTAATCTTCCTCGTGAATTCTTCTGGAAGTATAGCGGATCTTATTGTTCTGGTGCTTGTGTAAAATCCGTAATGTATTGGAGGTATAAATTAAATGAATTCCAAAAGATCTTTTTTGCTTTGGTTATTAGACGTCCAGCGGGATAAAGATGATCTTGCTGAAGTATTGTCCTAGTTGTCCTCTTTTTGATATCAAGTGAGTAAAAATGTTCTCCTCTGTAAGAGTTATAAAGAATTCATAAATTCAAATCTGGTGGAAAATAACTTCTATGCTCACTTTTATGCCTCGGATAATGTGATTCGTATATAGAAAATGTACTAATGATTTCTTTTACTTCAGTCGTTTTGTCGTCATCTTATTTACTGAATTATTTTGCCATCTTTTATCCTTTGGTACAACTCCAGTTTGTGATTTTTTTTGTCTTCCTCTCTATCACTTCACTCTACCATTAGAAATCTGAAAGGTTTTCATAAAACAAGATTTATAAACAAAAGGTCTAAAAAATTTTGGTGTAATCCACAAATTCGTGGGTAAGCCCATTCGTGTTTTCAAATGTTTGTCATTTTCTATGATACGCAATCAACATGCTATTATATAGCGATATATGCTGTAATATACCGAAATGTTGATTAAACCGGTTTTGCTTTAAAATTCAGAACTGATTGCGATCTATAACTCAATTATCAACATGTTGCTTAGACCACTTTGGCGCTCATAGCCTCTATTGGTCTATATATTTCTCGTTAATTTTGCATTCTAAGAAAATATGATTGAAATCTCTAATAGAAATATATTCTACTTTCAACGCCATTTATTGCATCACTCGATAAAATCTTAGGTACGATCTCACCCTTTATTATTTCATCTTTGGCCAACCAGTCCACTTTCTCATTATCTATTATAGCGACATGTCCTTTTGCCCATATAAATAGCACGCCCACTTTAGACAAATTATTTTTTACATAAAACTATAGATTTATATGAACTGAAATCTGTCTTTTCAATTACATATATGGCAGATCTTGTAGGCAGATCTGCCATATCTGCCAATTCTGGCAGGCAATGGTAGGGGAAATCTTTTTTAGACATCTAACGTCACGGAGCAGACACGATACTAGACTAGAAGACCCCAAGGTAGTAGTAGTTCAGTTTCCTGAATTTAAATTCCCCCCACGGCTTCATATTGGGAATAAGCTCCTTCGTCCACCTTGCATTTCCGCTATCAATCACCCATTCTCTCTGCCACTCCTCTATCGTTCTTTCTTTCTTATTCTCATCTATATTTGCTTCCATCGCATACACCCTCGCTCGCTCTTTGCACAACAAGACTATCGGTATGACTGCCCCAATGACGTACAGAAACCGTCCTGTACGCGCCAGATACCCTTAGGAGCATTCGCCTTTGCGAAGTCTCCATCAGCTTGGGACTTTCAGGTTTTTTTCATATAGTACATAATAACGCTAAAATGAGCTTATTCCATATATGGACCGCATGGTATATTAGCTGTCCGATTTCGGTTACCTAGTGTTAAGTATTGGTATAATGGTTTTAAGTTGTGTCTTTTATTTTCTGTTTCTATCTCGTTAAATTATTTCTTTGTCTTTTGCCTTTGATCTTTGTATTTTTCTCGTTCCTCTTCTCTGCTTGTGCTTAACCATTTCAATGTTGTTTTATTCTTTTCTTTCACTGCTTATTTGCACTCATTGTCAAGTTTAATTTAGGAATTATCGTTCTTGGTTTTTTTTTTATCAAAGTTTGGTACGTAAATGTATAAATTGTATTATTTTCCAATATTTTATTAATTAAGTTTTTAATGTTTAATAATGCCAGATTTGTTAAAAGTGTTTCTCCTCTTTATACTGTATTTTTGTGCTAATAGTTGTCTACTTAATTCTAATGGGATTTCATTACACTCTGCTAGCATAACGTTTGTTGGAGTTGATACCATTGCACTTAAACATAGTGCTTGCTGATCCATATATCCAGCACCCGTAGTACACGACTGACCAAATACAGACACTGTAGAACAATAAAGCTGTTTTGGGTTCAGCACTCAATTTTCTGTTTTTAATACAACTTGTATGTTTATTCTTTTTTTACACTTACCTTTGATAAGTATGTTTAGTCCACAGAAGTTTATTATATATAATCTCTAGATACTTACATATACTGATTCACCACTGGTATGGTACGCTACGCCCACTCGAAAGTATGATCCCCGATGCGCGCAACTTATGCCTGGTGAAAAACATATTATTGGATTTCCGCGTGGACATTGTCATATTATTTTGATTTGTCCATTGTATAATAATTTCAACTATATGCCTCAATGACTGTAGATAGCCGTCGTGGATTTTTTTAGGTAGAGTATATACAGATGTCATCTGCATATTGTAAACCTTTAATGTTTTCGTCAAACAATCTGTGAATACTTGCAGAATATAAGTTAAATAATATTGGACTTAGTACTGGACCCTGTGCAGGTCATGATCTACAAATCTTGGTCAATGTAGATTATTTCTATGATCTTTTAACCATACTGTTCTGTTATAATATAGATATAATATATTATTACAAAAGTAAACTTAGAATCTTTATATTAAATGGAAAGTTGGGGCTTGTGATGCTAAAATATAATTAAAATTTCAAAGCGATCGGTTTAGGTTAAAAGTTGTTGTATTTGTTTATCCCAAATTAAATTTTTTTGCAACCATATAAGTCAGAATATAATAAAATTACAATAATTCTACGGATAACTTGTGAAAGATGAAGATTTGTGTATCAATTTTATGTAAAAAAATGAAGAAAAACAATTTTGAATATTAGAAAATCATTTAGGAAAAACGAAGTTGGTCCTTTTTTTAATAATTCACAGCAGCTTTTTTTTTAATAAGTTATAGTTCTAAAGACCTCTTTAGCGTCATTTGAAAGAACATACTTTCAAGTTTTAATGTGTAAAATTCGAAAAATATTACTTTTTTTCCCTGACTGGCCTAATGTTTACCATCAAAGACTTCACCCAACGATATCTTTAAATCTGGTGCCGACAAAATCAATATTTTACATTTTGTTTCAGATACTTCCTGGGAGCTTCCGCCGACAAACTAACTTGCACTGCGAAAGTTCCGAGCGACGCTGAATTTTGGCACGTCCATTTGGCCGCGAGGCCGCAGATGAATCTGAGATCAGTCGGTAGGAAACGTTTCGCTCATCTCTCAGAGAATCTCGACGAGATTTATGTTGATGCCAACGTTCCTTGGGGCGAAGATACTCTCTTCACGCTCGAATTCCGGTTAGACGAATCCGGGAAGTATGCCATTCATACCTGCAATAATAAGTACCTCTCAATGAACGGTAAGTTATTGTTTTTTTAGATATGTAGGTGTCTTATAAAGCTTCTAATTTTTCATCTAAATGCTTCGTGCATTTTTTCGTTTTCTACTGTTTTGTTGACAAAAGTTTTAATCCATTTTTAGTTCTTTCCTGACATGCTTTCTTATATTATGTATTATACCAGTCCTCTTTGCAGTTTTTTCACCACTTGTGCATACCGTTTTTCAACATTTTCCAGCTCATGTAAACAATATTAATTTTTTCTTTCTTTTTCAATTTAGCCTTTAATTTTTTCCCTAAAATTCTATTTTATTTTTCTATGCGCAAAAGTTTTGGTTTTTTATTTCCGGTTTTCTTTCTATTTCTTTAAATATTGTTTATTGTAATATATCAAAACACAATTGATTGTAATAAGAATTATTGTATTATATATTTGTGATGAAGAGTACCTGAAACGATAACATTTTTAAAAAAATATTTGTAATACTAACCTTATAAAATTAACAGTAGCTTGAACAAATCATTATTTTTTTTAGTACAGTGAATCAAGGTAAAAATCAACTATTACTTCCGATTTCGGTGAACCTCCATCGATTTTCATGAAAATTTGAGTTTGAGTATATTTTACTCTCAACTTCAAAAGTGACATATGCTCAAATTGCGCTTTTTGCATTTTAGGGGTGAAATCCACCCCTTTTGTTAAAAATGGTAAACAAATGCAGATTTAAGCATTCTGGTATAAGTAATCTCGATTAATTAAATAAAATAAATGTTTTGCAAAATTTATAAGCATAATTTATGATTTTAATTAATTGTTCAACACTTTTAGCAACTATCCCTTAATTATGAAATCATTTTATGATTTCATGATTTCATGAATCATGAAATTATGAAAAAATCATTTTTTATATTTCTGAAATATCAAAACGCATATTAATATTACCCAAATAGTTTCTTTAATGTTTATGATATAATTTTTGACTGACTGAAATTTCAACCCTTAAAAACCACCCACTTAAAGCAGAACTATTGAAAAAAATAATTTCAAGAAACTTTAATTATTTGAATAATACATAACTGAATTGAAATCTCATTTACTGAGTTTTAAAATATTTATTTATTTATTGCGTAATTTTGCACCCTTAAAAACTACCCCTTGTCATAAAAATAATGGAAAATGTTTTTTTTTATTATCTTTAATTAGCTGTAATTATTTAGAAACTTTTTTATTGGTTATGATAAACTTTAAGAATATATTCCAAACTTTATTAATATTATTCTCTCCACATTTCCTGAACAATTTTTTCAATGCTTATGTGACTTATAAAAATTTAATTTGTTAGTTAAGAGGAAAATGTATTAAAATAAATATTAAAATATATGAAAAGTTCATTCATTTTATATTTAAGTAATGTTTCATAAATTAATCAAATATTAATATTACTTTAATTGTTAATTTTTCACTCTTTTTCAGAGCTCTCTTCACCAATTTCTCCTTTTTCATTAATTGGATTGCTATTTTGCAATTGTCCCCACTGCATGATTTGCAGACTGTAATAACTGCATTTTTTACAATAACTCCTTTTATGATATCAGGTTCATTCAAAAACCATTTGAAAGGTAATTTCAAGGACTATAAAGTCGTTTTAAATTTAATCTTTTAAATACCTTATTTTTTAAAAGAAAAAAGGTTAAAGGGCCACGGTTACATGGTACTCGCAGTAAAATTTAGGTTTTAAACATTTTTATCTCAATTACTATTTAACTGGGAATAAGCCACAATTCAAGGTAAAAATACGTTTATTGACGTTTCAATTTCCACTTCGGAAATCGTTCTCAAAATACAAACAGTAAATTAAACAAATTTTGTTTTTTGTTACTTAGTGAAAAATTCTTCTAATTAGAAGCTTTAGAACAATATTTTTATCTCAGTTATTTTTTTATCCTACAAAAATATAAAAAAGGAGAATCTTTGTTAAAAAAAACCTCAAATTTTTTTTTATCATTTTTTAAGTATATTGAGTATATATGGAGTTATTCTTAAAAGAAAATGAAATTTATAAAAATTTGAAAAATTCTGATTTTTTTAAATCAAATTTGTTTTCAAAAATATGCATTCTGAACCGGTCAAAATTTTTGAGGTCATTAATTATGCTAAAATAAAGAGAGTCTTATGGGGATTACTTACTATTTAAATTTTTGTGGAAATGACGTATGTTTTATTTTTCCCTTTTTCCAAAAAAATTCGAAAGGGTCCTCTTATTTTCATCATAACTTGCTTAATTTTGATGCTATTAACTTCTTCTATAGCTCATTTTATAGGTATTTCTGAGTACTTTGAAAATTGTTTAATAAATATATTTCATAAAATGCATTGTTTTCCGTTATTTAAGCTTGAATATTCAGATTTGAGTACTCACCGAAAAAAAATACATTTAATTAATTATAACTCACTTTGAGTTAGGGGAGAAGAGGGAGACTTGATCCCACCGTTACATTTTTTCAGATAGCTCCTTTTACAACCAATCTAGAACCTTGATAATTTAGTGGAACATTACAAATTTATCACAGTTTTGGGTATTGTACACCCGAAAAATATACTGCTAATAAAAAACGAGTTTTTGTAGAATTTCGTAACATGGAGAAACTAATCATGTCTCCCCGTACTCCGGGAGACTTGATTCTTGTGTATGGAAGACTTGATTATACCTTTCCAGATTTACGATATTAAAATAAAACCAAAAATTGGATGTTGAAAACTAATTTTACTCAGTCATGACTTATAACAAATAATGTTATTAAAAATATATAACACTTTCTGGCAAAAAACTATACTGAAAAATGATAAAAGAAAAAAAATTATTCTCGAATATTGAACATCCTTAGTGATTTGGGAAAGACAAAACATCCTATGCGCTTACTGTAGCTCCTAAAAGTCGGGCGTGGTAACTTTTTTAAAATTTGGTCACGTGGGACTTCACCCATGTCTTCTTTTTCTGGCCAATTAAAGGCTTTTTCATCCCTTTTTTGGGCAAATTTGATTTTAAAATCCTCGTTCTTTTTTTCCATTATCTGTCCTACGTATCGATGGACTAAGTTTCTTTCGGAGACAAAGCTGACAATTACCCAATCTTGCACACTCAACTCAAACTCGTCACCTTCTGCTTCCGATTCACATTCACTATCTGTCTCTACTTGCATTTCATCATTAGGATCATATTCAGACTCTGACGATGGTAGTATAATGTCACTGCCCCCCGAACTTGAAGATTCCCTCAAATCCTTAAGTTTTTGTTTAGTTATTCTTTTTAGGGCTTTTATTTTGGCCCTTTGCTCTTTTTCTAATTTTTTCTCTTCTTTATCCTTAACTTCAGCTTCAAGCGCAAGTTTTTCTGTTGTTGCTGTGAGAATTTTTGTAGTTGCTCGCTTTCTACCATTTGCTGAAGTCCTGGGCCCGGCTTTAGGGTGGGGTCTAATCATTTCTGGGCTAGTAAACGTGGCAGAAGGGAAAGAATGGTTATTGTGCTCTTTTGATGTTTGTTGTAGCTGTTCATTTTGTGAAGTATCTCCATTTACAGAATGGGATCTAATTATTTGAGGTGTGGTGAAAGTACCAGTAGAAGTAGAAGTAGAAGGCTGATTTTCGTCCTCAATTAGTGTTCGTCGTAGTTGTTGATTATGTGAAATGGATCCACTTGAGGAATGTGATCTAATAATTTCAGGGGTGGTGAAAGTGCCAGTAGAAGTGGAGGGTTGATTATTGTTATCTATGGCTGGTTGTGCAACATCAAACTGGGATAAAGTGGATTTTTTTTCCGGATCTTCGCGATCAGTAACATACGCCGACATAAAATCTTCATAGGTAAAAATATCTCTCAATATTACGTGGAGTAAAAGCTAGGGGGAAAGCGTAAGCTAAGCATCCTCCGACTTCATATATTGTAATTGTCCTTCCTGGTTGCGCCACCATCCAATCATCACAGGCAGTATTATAAAAACTCTTGAGAGGGCCAAATACACTCGTGTCTAACGCCTGGAGCTTATGCGACGTATGTGGTGGTATGGTAAGAAGAACTATTCCGTGTGCTTTGGCATACGTTATGGCTTCCAGACTAACGTGGCTATCGTGATTGTCCATTATGATTAAAGATTTATTGTCGGTAGTCGCCTTTACATGTTTTTGAAAATGTTCCAAAAATTTGACGAAATTAGAAGCGGTCATCCATCCACTTTCATAAACTACGCCGGTGGTCCCTGGTGGGCTATGATCAATCATGCGATCTTGCCAAAGTTTTTGAGGAAAAACCAAAAAAGGCGGTATATGATTTCCAATTGCGTTGATTGCACCACAAAGAGTAACTGTTGGTCCACGTTCCCCTGACGTAATTTTACCAACCTGTTTTGCACCTTTGCATGCAATAATCTTCTTTGGCTTATGGACAGTTGAAAGGCCAGTTTCGTCTATGCTCCAAATCGCTTCTGGTCCAATTCCATTGCTTTCAAGAACTGTCTTTAAATTTATGAAAAATTTTGATACATTGTTTCTGTTGAAGCTAGTTGCTCTAGTAAGACTGGTTGCTTCCGGAGATCGTAGTGATAAGGTCTTCAGAAATCCGTATAACCAGTCGTAACTGGCTTGCTTATGTTTATTCCACGAAGCAGGTATTTTTTTATTATTTCTTACGGCAAACTCGTATGCTAGTTCTTTTGCTTGTTTGGTTGTAAGACCATGGTGTAATTTGCTGGCAACATCTAAATAATCTTTAAACATATTTTCCTCTGCATTTGTAAAAATTTGAGCCTTCTTGTAATCAGGATAATAGGTTATTTCAACATTTTCAGATCGTTGTCGGCGAATGTATCTTTTTAATGTCATAACATTTATTTGATAACGACTTGCCGTTCCCTTGAGAGACGTTCCGTTATTAATAACGTCTAATACAGTTTCTTTTAACTTCTGGCTGTCGACTGGTGTTCTTTTCTTTGCTCCTTCCCTCCTTTTGTATTGACGTGGCATATCTATAAAATAAAAAACACTCATCTATAAGGAGTTTCTGGGAGACTTGATCCCGGGATCACATCTCCCAGATAAGATGTAATCAAGTCTCCCCCAAGACGCCATTTGAATATTTTTGTCTATAAAAATATGACGACAAACTAGAACTCATTGCAAAATGTGCAAAACGTAAACTGAATGATTATAGTGTTAAATAAAAATTATACGAAAAACTCACCTTAATGAATATTAAAGAAAATCAACTTGAAATAATTCTGAAAACACTTCTCGGTAGGGACAAAAAACTTGTAATAAACACGTGCTCTTCGTTGTGGATTCTAATACAAACTAAATTAAATGGGATCTTCAGACATACCAGAGAACTTCGTAGTTCTCTGGACATACTAACAGCTACGCTTTGTTGCCGGTTTTATAATTTTAGGCTACTCTTTTACTGAAATTTTAAAGAGTGACAAGTCTCCCATATGATCAAGTCTCCCTCTTCTCCCCTAATATTAAAAGGTTTTTCAAGCAAGGACTTTATTCAATTTTTTATTAGCTTCAATTTTGGTAATGACAACTTTTTTATAAAAACTTATAGTTTTTGAACTAGTAGTAGTTATTTATGAAAAACTGCTTTAAAACATGCATTTTTTTTTCACGAAAAATCAAAATCTTTGATCTTCAATAACTCAAAAAGTATTGATTTATTTTAATAACTTTATCAGATAAATTTTGTTTAGATTTGGTTCCTCTATCGATTCCTGGGGTTATTTTGAATAAAATAATTTCCACCCTCGAGAAGGGGTGGCATCCAGCCCCAGGATAAAAGCGCAAGTTGACACCATGTCACTTTTATTTCTTAAGGTATCCTCTAACTACTCACCAATTTTCATAAAAATCGATGTGGTTCAACGAAATCGGAGTGAAAACCTTCAGTGACTGTACTATTTTTGATAACATGTAAAATCATGGACGTATAAACATAGATGGACACAGCAATAAGATACCTTTAACACACAATGTTTTGAAGCTTCCATAGAATGTGATGCTTCCGCAATGAGCATAAGCGTGCTTGAATTTTTACTCGCGGGTAATTATTAAGATTTTAAAAATTGGAAGTAGTAATAATGTATAAAAACACGTTTTAAAAAGGTACTACACAGATTTTTTTTAATCAGATGATGTCTACTTACAATTTAAAAATGTCTACTAATTTCATGAACTTATATCTTATTCAATACATTAATGAACATGAATAAACCCAATGGTACGCCTATTAAAATGTAAACAAACACGCTTCCTCATTTCCTCATCTTAAATAATGTAAATTGTATGTACTTACAAATGAAATGAGAGATCGGGATGTAAATATTTCGTTTATTTTATTTCACTTTTCACAAATATCACTCAAAATACAGCTAAAATATCGAAAAACAACTTTTACTAAAAAGTAAACAAACATGGAACAGCATTTGAAGTTTGACGTAGATCCATAAGACAGAGAAATGTAAACAACCGTTGCTATTTATAAATAGTATTTAGTGCTTCTATATATAAAATAATTGATTGATATCTATTATACGCTATTATTAAATGATAATTCACACTATGTGCACACTTTATATTTTGATTACAATTAAATATATTAATCTAACCAATAAATTATTATTTTGGTTTGATAGCACCTGTAGAGCATAAAATACGGAGTAATATTTTCAGCGACTCGCGAATAAGAAATTTTAAAACAAAACGTGACAACAGTTGAAGGTGCTGAGAATGTGACCTATTCAAATAATTTTGACTTCAAAATTTTATGTAAATAACTGAGTCCATCTGTGTTTATACGTCCATGTGTAAAATAGTTTTAATAATACAATAAATTAAAAAAAAATGAATAAAAGCTGAATCCGGATCTGCTCTTAAACCTAATCTTTCGAGTAAAAATTACAACTAAAATTTAAAGAACGTACCTAATTTCTTTCCGCACATTTTGTCGCCATGTGGACGGATTGCGAATTTGTTTGCGAGCTTTGTTGTTTTCAACAGGAGTTTTAATAGTTTCCATTTTAAAATACTAACAAAATAAAAAAAACAGCTTGGCGCCTTGTTTGAAGAGAAATTGCGAGAAATTATAACGATAACGATTCCAGCCGACTTCTAGTGGTATATCACATGGTTGCTGCGAGGAGTCTCATTGGTCAAAGAGGACCCGACTTGATTCTTTTCCGCTAATGGAGATTGCCGTGTTTTTGATTATTAGGCTAAATTTATATGCTGTTTTATAGGCGGATAATGCCGTTTTTAATTCTTATTCCCTTTATTTTTGTGTAGTGTTTTAAAAATAAGAATAATTGGATGTAATTAACTCAATTTTGGTAAAAAGTGAAGATTGTCGACCTTGTTACTAGGACCCTCATTTATAGAAATATAATAGTTATAGACTTATTATTGAATAAATTAACACAAAATATTTCTTTTTACTTAGATAATGGACATAGTCGTTAGAACAAAAAATACACTGATTATAAATGTGATATAATAAAAATATTTTAAAAGAAAAGGTAGGCAATCAAGATTAAACTCATATGAAAGAAATGTCTTGGGCACTTTGAAATTTAGATATTTTTCTTTTTTGGTACACTTTCTTATCTATTTATCTATTCTTTCTTATTATCACTCTTGTCTTTGGTTTGGCTTTTGTCAGATTGTAGGTATTTTATCTCTCATATATTTACCTATATCAACAATCCAGTGAATTAATATCGTTTATTCGTAATTTCGTAATCGTAAATCAGCTATTGTGACCAGCAGAATGTATATATAAACACAAACAGGTATTTTCAAAAGCCCTCTATTCACCGTTGCATGTTCTGGTCTCCTGTTAGTGGGGCCATATGAGAGATGAACCCTCATCACCAAATGTCAAAGCTCTCTTCTGTTTATTTGGCAATTCCTTTTAGAAATCTATAGTAAAACAATAAAGGAAAACTATCTTCTTGAGTTTTTATTTCTATTCCAGGAAAATTAGTAGACTCCTGTAACAAAGATTGCCTCTTTACCGCCGAATACCACAGCGGACAACTAGCTCTCAGGGATCGCAACGGACAGTACTTGAGCCCTATAGGTTCTAAAGCAGTTCTCAAAACTCGGTCCAATACAGTAACCAAAGATGAGCTTTTCTCGTTGGAAGATTCCCTCCCGCAGGCCAGCTTCGTCGCCGCTTTGAACACCAGATTTGTATCTGTCAAACAAGGTAAGTTTTTAAATTTTTTTTATGTAACTGATAATGTAAAAATTAGGAAAAATTTGCTGTATAATAAAGAACCATTTTATGCTAATATCGCTCTATAATTGCGAAGATAAGAAAAATTACGCCTATATATAATGTGTACAAATTGGTCTCTTAACAGATCCTAATAATTATAATCCTTTATGAACAAGTTCATTAATATGAATTTCAAAAGCTAATGAAGTATCAATACTTCAACTGCATTTTTAGTTTTAAAATTTCTCGACCAATTTTAGTTTTTGAAATATTTAGATGTAAACCGAACATTTCACTATGACGAACTACCGCATTTAATATATTTTGTAGTTCTTGTGTGTTGCTTACTATTAGGATATCATCAGAGTAACTGACGTTTTCTATGGTGGTTCAGTTATTCTTGACTCCATCTTGAACCTTGTGTACTGCTTTTCTGAATATATATTCCGAATACAGATTAAATAATAGCGGTGATAAGACGCAATCTTGTCGCATTCCTCGTCGGATTCTTATATCTTCGGATGTTGTGTACTCTATTTCAATTGTTGCCGTTTGGTGCCAATATAATTCTGAAATAATTCGCAAGTCTTGTTTGTCAATTCCAGTTATTTTCAGAATTTCGACCATCTTTATGATGGTTAACGCAGTCAAATGCTTTTCAGTAATCAATAAAACATGCATATACATCTACTTTCATGTCTCTGCGTCGTTGTGTTAACAAATTTAAGGCAAAAAGAGCTTCTCGTGTTTCCAATCCATTTCGAAATCCGAATTGAGTGTCACTCATCTGAAACTCACACTCACAATTCGTGTATGAATGATTCTGAGAAAAGTTTGAAGTACATGATACATCATGCTTAATATTCGATAGTTATCGCAGTGTGAGGTATTGGATTTTTTGGTAATGTTACGAATGTTGATTTTAGGCAATGTGATGGTATTTTACCTGTGTCATATATCTTATTGAGTAGCGCTGTTATTAAGTCGAGGCTTCTACGGATGGTAAATATATAATAATATACAGTGGGAGGCAAAAACATGGAATAAATTCACTTATGGATTTTATAAGTCTATTCATATTGCATATTCCCAAAATAAACAAATTATCGAGGCCTAACACGCACGTGTTCCGACGGTATTCGCCTTCTCATTCGCCAAAAGACTAATAAATATGATTTATCGCCTTGAACAAGAATGATTGTCATTTTACAGGTCCAAACTGCTCACACACGCTGAACAACGTTGAATGTTGAATAAAAAGTCGAGTCCAAATTGTGGAAATTGAACAATATAATAGAGACATATATCGAACAAATAATACTAAATCCAGAGGAAGAAAACAGCACGTGTAGCTCCTGAGACTCTAACTAATTGAAATGATATATTTTTATTGAAAACCTTATGATCATACTACTTAAAATACTGATATGTATATCTTAGTTAACGAATATTTTATTTTAGCACATTTTTCTTCAATGGAGTATTAAATCTTACCCATAGTTAAACTTCAAGACATTCTTACATTCCTAATTCCTTCTTCTTCCTCTTCTTCGTGTGACTAGGATTCTTAATTCCAAGAAGTAAATATTTTTAAAAATCATATGGTACAGCTCCGTACGTCCCTATTTGGCTTTCACGCGCAATTGTCTACAGTTGGGAATAATGGACTGGATGATATTTCTGTTTTTTAGTATACGTAAAACAGATCTTTTAGAAATGCTTGTATCAACTGCAATTTGCCTTGAATTAATTTGAGGATTATCTACCACACTTAATACACGAAGGTTTACATGATCTTTTCTTGGTGGACGACCAGCTGCCCTGGACACGTTAAACGAGACATGTTTTTACTTGTCCAGTTCCTCTAAAATGTGATAGACCCATTGAGATAAGTATTTTATATTAAATAAATTACATACTACTGGTTGTTTTATTAAGTCGATGAGTTATATCTGGAGTTTTATCTTCATATCCAACCACAATTATTAATACTTTGATTTTTATGTTTCCTTTAATGAACCGTTTCCATTATTTATTTATTGATTTCATACAGAAACTAGTCCATATAAGAAAATGACTTATGTCCATATAAGAAGAACTGACTTTTTTACTCCAACCAAGCCACCTCGACTTTTAAAAACTATACTTTTTGCTATAGCTAGTTCTCTTTAGTATTAAATGGGAATTTATTTGTATTTTTACGTAGAACAGCAGTACTAAACATTTATTTATAAATTTCAAGTGTTTTAATAGTAGACAAAATTTAAGTATACAATTTCTCGTAATATAACGTTGCCAATTCTGCAGTTACCTACGAAAAAAAGCAATATTGTAAAAAGAAGCATGAAATTTACATTCCAAACGACACCAGCAAGTCCAATTATATCGGATCCCTTTGTTCATTTTGCAAAAAGTCTCGGCTCATAAAAACGTGAACAGGTTTTAAGAAAAGAGGATGAAATACGCCTCCTCTCTTGGACTGAAAATGTCTTTATTTAGCATTGTCTTCAAATGACTTCTATAAAAGAGCAAACTTTATTATCCTGTCTTTTGTTTGATAAATAATGCGCGACGGGGAATTGTCTAATTAGCTAATTAATATCAATTAAGAGATTACCTAAAAGAGAGCATGAACTGTTTTTTTTTTATCGCCCAAGATGAATTGTTACATTTGTATGTAAGTATTCACAACTAAGGAATATAAATCAGGATTTTAGTTTATTAAATTATAATTTGAACATGTTGGCTGGATATCCAAGTGGTCTAGACAGCTGACTCGCATACGCTTGACCGTCAAATGGTTTAGTGGCGTTGGTTCGATTCCTCGCCTAGGACCGAAAAACAAACAGGCCAACGTAGAAGCTTAGTTAGCTAAGTTTAAAATGCTAAATGAATCTGCAACTTAGACTAAAAATATTTGTGTGTCTATGGAATATTGTCACTCTATCTCTATATTATGTCATATAGTGATAATATAATCAGATATGAAACAGACTACAAATCTATCTACATTACCAAATACCTCAGGAATAAGGGGGGTTTGTAAAGGGTAAAGGCATTTTAATAGAATTGGGCACACCAATGCACCTAGCGACACTTATTAAAAATCTGTACTAGTACAACAAGATCAGACGTTCTCAAACCTAAACAAACTTGAACAAAATTCAAGACCGAGAGAGGTGTTGTTACCTGACTTATTCAACATTTATGGTGAACAGGTCATGAAGATAGCTTTAGAAGGATGGGCCGGTGGAGTAAAAGTGTCTGGTAGGAAAATTTCCAATCATCCAGATTTGCTGATGACACTGCACTTATAGCAGCAAATGAGCAAGAAATGTTTATTCTCTTGCGAAGAGTACGGAAGCAATAAAGTTGGTCTGAAAATTAATAAAACTAAGACAAAAATAAGATTCCACACTATTCAACTAACATGTTATAGGAATACCAGTATAACTGGTAACTTTTTGTTTAATTCTGTATATTTTCTAATATAACTAAAGATAAGAAATCAAAGCCAGTGGACTGTATAAAACTCTATTTAAAAAAGCAATGAAATAAAAACATAAATATACATAACCAAATATACCATTTTAATTAAAGAAGAATAATAATTATACCATTAATTATTTAATGAAGGGTCCAGGGGAAGAACGGCAATAGTCCATTTGGATTTATTTCGAGAAAATTGAAAATTAAGATAAGTCAAATATAAAGAAAAATAATCAAAAATAATATTTTTAGGTAAATATTATATTTTTTATTAAAAAACGTTAAAAATAACCTTATTATAAAAATAAATGAGGTAGAAAAAAAATATAATACAGACAGATGTTTGCCACTTTTCTTCTATATTAGACGTCTATTAGCGGATCGTCCACAAATTCGTCATCGCTTTCTCCAGATTCTTCGACAACAACTACTGTTAATTGTTGATAAAACAACCTGGATTCTGGTTTCTCGAGGAATGCAGTTAGATCTTGCAGATCTTTCCATTTGGATTTTTTAATAGGAATTGCGCCTAGATAAAGTTTTCGTAATGTTCCTACTTCTTTTTTATTGTGATTATTTTGTGTCCTTTTGTGGCACGCCTTAATCGGTTTATTTTCGAATTTAGGATTATAATATAAACCCATATACGTAGATTTATGGAAAATTAACCGGTTATCCTTGCTGCAAAATTTAAGCATTCTGATTGGCCGAGTTGGGAAAGGGCACTTCGTTGGATATAGCGGCGATAAAAATGAAGTCCAATTTTGAAAATCAAAACTGTTACTGCAATCAATCACTTCAAATGGTGTGGGTTTCAAACAGCAATTTCGCAATTCGTCTCTCCAGTCCTCTGGTACCTCAGTGTATGCTTTCTGATTGACAAGGCTCATGTTTCGATCGCATTCAAGATATGAATGCCCTCTAATAGGGAATATTACTTTCACAATATCAAAACGTTTTTTTCTTGTAACTAAGTAATGCAAGAATCGAATGATAGTAAAATTTTTATTTTGTCCTGCACAGGAATCACAAAAAATAGCTAGTTCTTTAACTTCCATGGGCAGAATATTATAAAAAAAGTGATTCAGCATGGAACAAACATCGTCAGCTCCTTTCTTAGCAACAGATTCATCGTAGGTATAAAATACAGATTTTGAATCCGACAGAATATGAATGTTGAAACTGATGAAGTTTAGTTGACGTTTATAGTATACGTCGTTGGTTGTAATATTTGGACATGGTAAGTTTTTTTGATAATCTATGCTTATACCTTCCATAGTCGAGGACTTTGAAGCACGTTTGCAGTAACTTCTTTTTAGACTATAAAATCGCTCACTTGTTTTTAGATGTAGATTCCTTTCACGTGTCTTTTTTTCTATATCATTACTTGCTGTTTTCCTAGTTTCAAGGTCCGAAGTAGAATTTAATAATGTAGTTATCGATGATATGTCGGCTTTTAAGGAGTCACACGTGCTACAAGTGTCTTTTCGTGGATATCC